AAAAAAAAAATTCAAACTGAGTACCAAGTCAAAAATTCTATCCTATTTACAATAGCCATAAAAAGGTATCTAGAAATACATCTAACCAAGAAGGTAAAAGATCTCTATAAGGAGAACTATAAAACACTGCTAGCCGGTCTCGGTGGCTCAGCCTGTAATCCCGCGCCTTTGGGAGGCTGAAGTGAGTGAATTGCCTGAGCCCGCGGGTTCGAGACCTGCCTGGGCAGCGAGACCTCATTTCTACAATAAATCAAAAAATCAGCCGGGCGTGGTAGCGAATGCCTGTAATTCCGGCTACTTGGAAGGCTGAAGCGGAAGGATCGCCGGAGCCCAGCAGTTCGAGGCTGCGGTGCCGAGAGCGGCCACTGCACTCCAGTCTGGGCCACAGAGTGAGACTCCAACTCAAATAAAAATAAAATAAAGTAAAATAAAACAAAACACTGCTGAAAGAAATCATAGATTATGCAAACAAATGGAAAAAGATTCCATACTCATGGATTGGAAGAATCAGTATGATTAAAATATCTGTACTGCCCACAGCAATCTACAGATTCAACACAATCCCTGTCAAATTGCCACCATCTTTTTTTTTTTAATGAAATTGGAAAGATAATTCTAAAATTCATATGGAACTAAAAAAGAAGCCAAATAGCCAAAGCAGTCTTAAACAAAAAGAAAAATGCCAACGTCATCACATTGCCTGATTTCAATCTTTGCTACAAGGCTACAGCAGTAAAAACAACATAGTACTGTTACAAAAATAGACACATAGACAAATGGAACAGAATAGAGATCCTGGAAATAAAACCGCACACCTACAACCAACTGATCCCTGACAAAGTCAGCAAAATTAAACAATGGAGAAAGGACCACCCAATTCAATAATTGGTGCTGGAAAAATTGGCTAGCCATATGTGAAAGAATGAAATTGGATCCCTACCTCTAACCATATACAAAAATGAACTCAAGATGGATTAAACACTTAGATGTAAGACCTCCAACTATAAAAACTCTAGAAGAAAACCTAGTAAATACTCTTCTGGACATTGACCCAGGCAAAGATTTTATTGCTAAGTCCTCAAAAACAAATGCAACAAAAATTGACAATTGGGACATAATTAAACTAAAAGCTTCTGCACAGCAAAATAATCTATCAACAGAATAAATAGAGAACCCACAGAATGGAAGAAAATATTTTCAAACCATGCATCTGATAAAAGATTAATATCCAGAATCTATAAAGAACTTAAATCAACAAGAAAAAAATAACCCCATTAAAAAGTGGGCAAAGAACATGAACAAAAGAAGACACACAAGTGACCAACAAACATATGAAAAAAATGCTCAATAGCACTAATTCTGAGATAAATTAAAACTACAATGAGATACCATCTTACCGCAGTCAGAACGGCTGTTATTAAGAAGTCAAAAAACAACAGATGTTGGTGAGGTCGTGGAGAAAAAGGAATGCTCATACACTGTTGGTGGAAGTGTAAATTAGTTCAACCCCTGTGGAAAACAGTTTGGAGATTTCTCAAAGAACTAAAATAGAACTACCATTTGACCCAGCAATTTCCCAAGGAAAATAAATCATTCTACCAAAAAAAAAAAAAAAAAAAAAAACCCTCCTGCACACGCGTGTTTATTGCAGCACTATTCACAATAGAAATGACATGGGATTAACCTATATGCTCATCAAGAGTGGATTGGATAAAGAAAAAATATATACACCATGGAATACTATGTAGCCATATAAAAGAATGAAATCATGTCCTTTATAGCAACATGGATGCAGCTGGAAACCATTATTCTAAGTGAATTAACACAGAAACAGAACACTGAAGATAACATGCTCTCACTTATAAGTAGGGGCTAAACACTGGGCACACACACATAAAGACGAAAACAATAGACACTGGAAACTTCTATATGAGGACAGGAGAGAAGAGGGGCAAGGGATGAAAACTACCTATTGGGTACCATGCTCACTCTTTGAGTGGCAAGTTCAGTAGAAGCCCAAACCTCACTATCAGGCAGTATACCCATGTCACAAATCTGCACATGTATGCCCTGAATCTAAAATTAAAAATTAAATCAAATTAAAGAAATTTAAAAATAAAGAGAAAACTTCATGATGTAAGCATACTCTCCCAAGCCAAATTTAATTTATAAGCACAGACAATGGAAGAATATTTTTAGATATCTAAGAATCAGAAGCAATTTTGTTCATATAGCCTCCTTACATAATTATTCAAAGACC